GGACTTGGAGACACGCCTAACTCAGTTAAGTTTAGCCGCAGAAAGATCGGAATCTGTTATCTGCTATAAAACGACATCTCGAAGCGTTACATTACAAAATACCGCTAACGAAACATCGAAATGCAAACTCATTCTCGAGCAACCTCGTTCCCAGGGCCAATTTCAAAAGAGGGGGAAAGGGGAAATTGGCCCTGGCATCGGCCGGTCGATTATGGCTTCTGATTGGCTTGCAAGTATTGTTAATTTATGCAAAGTTGAACCAGCGCAAAATAATTAAAATTATTTTATGATGGCGCCATGGCGGAATCTCATGTTACAAACGTCACACCGACTAAAATTTCAGTTAGAAATCCAGCTTGCTTTCTTTGTGGTAGCTGTCCAGCAAGACGTCATATGGTGCGGATATTCGGGAAAGCTGGTTCGTCTAAAGATTTGTGTGCTAAAGTACAAAAACTTTGTGGTATAGCTATTTCTGATGATAAAAATAACTCGCAAGTGTTGTGTCGGCAATGCATAACGTTCATGGATAAGATGGAAGCCTTTATTAGAAAGGCTCAGTCATTGCAAGAAAAGCCGCTAGATGAATTCTCTGTGAAACGATGCATAGAGCAATCGCCATCTCAACGACTCGCTAAGCGTTCTCATCAAATAACTGCAAGTTCAAAACTACCGAAAGTGCTTTTCGAAAGAGCTGATGGCACTGAACCAATGAAGGACCTATCGCCTTTAGATCCACAATTTAGAACGCAACAACTAGCTCTCTTGCCGAAGCCAGCTTCGGAAGCAGATGGCTCATTTAAATTAGACACGCAAGCGGTATTATTATTGACGGAAAGGCAACAACAAATGATAACCCAAGCGTTAAGCAGCAGGGATGCTTCTGTGCTGGCAACTATTTTAAAAGAACATTGTCCAAATGTTTTGAGTGCCATGAAAAAGCTGCTATGTAAAGACGTACGACAATCTTGTGCAAAACTGTGTAAGCGTTCAAATGGATCCGTTTTGTATGGCAAAGATTTCGCAAGCTTAAGAGATTTCGATTTCAACAATATCTGGGAGGAACTGAAAACAAACCAACCTTTCCTAGTGGAATTGATGAGCGCAGTAGCTGATAACGTTGATAGTTTCGAAGATATGGAACTTGGACTGCGAGTGAAATATGCCTTTTTGTACTCTGTTCTTATGAATGAGAGATGGCATGAACTTACTTATGTAAAGCGAATGATAACTTTACTAATCATTGAGGGTGGATGTAGCAAACAGGTACCAATAAACCCCTATAGACGGACAATTTTGGAAACATATTCTGCGTAAAACGTTAAGTAGAAGTTGGAAATTTGTATCTGTTAAAAAGGGTGACATGTCCTCCTAATACAAATGTTTTACAAAACAATAATAATTTCTGAGCCACATGGCAGTTTGAGAATATATATTTGTAATGAAATAAACAACACAATTACCCTTCAGTTTGTCAGATAAACAATCATGATGAAAATTTCAAAGGCTTCTCTATTTTTTCTAAAATACCATTTTAACCAAGTTAGGTTTGCAAAGCTTGATTTAAAGTCACAGTAGCAGTATTTTATGTATGTATATAAGAATAGAAATGATCACACAGAAATCATAAAATAATTACTTCATGTTAGTCATGATTGCTAGCAAAGTGTCAGCATTAAGTTACATGTAGTCCACACTTTCGTTGTTGATTGATTGTTAAGAAACATGAAACATACACAAAAAGATTAAAATGGCTTATATTCACCCTACTTTGCTGGTACCCTAGTTTTATGTTATGATAAATCATGGCTTAAAAAATTATTGCCCTGCAATTGAAGGCTTCAAAAATCACATTCCAGCAGACAGTGCTATTCACCTTTCAAAGCCAGAAGACCAAGTATATCAACAAACATGATGTGCATAAATATATTCACTTTTATAATCCAACTCATAGGTTTTGGGACAAAGCTGACTTATGAAAAGTACAAATATTTTATTCATTTCATTGTTCTTAGCTTCAAGAAAGGCTGAATAAGCTTGGCGTGTGCTTGTCTCCTGGGAGGAGGGAAATGCTTCTCAGTCTAGTAGGAGGTCACTTCTCAGATGTTGTTGTTGAGAAAGTCAAAGAAGGAAAGGTTTTCAGAGGCACTGGCGACAATTGGGATTTGAAGATTCTAAAAGGACATATGAGAAAGGAGATTCAGAATGAAGACTTACATTTGTTTGCGAGTAACCTAATTGAAAATAGGGTGAGTTTCAAACATTTGCCAAATGACAAGCCAATGGGAAACATAAAGGAATTTCCAAGAAGCAAATTTTCATTGAACATAAATGAAATGAAGAAATATGCAGAATGTGCTAAGGTCCTTGTTGGTCGGATTATCCTTGATTTTTTCCCTTCGTTCAAGTTCTTGAAACCTGTGATTCCAACGCATATTCCTCATGATTATACTAAAGAAATGTCAAGAAAGTCAACTATAGTAAGCTTACCTATCATAAATGCCAACGAAGCGAAGTATGAAGATTGCGCAACGATTTTGAGGACTTACGAAAAGTGGATTGCAGAAATCTATTTTAAAGCCGGAATGCTTAATGAAATGCCAGTGATGGATAATCCACCTGTTCCTTCTGGTTCTGCAGCACCTGGCCAGACTGATGCTCATAGACGAGATACGATCGATGACCCAATGCGCGAGATGAAGATAGCATTTGCAGGTGATCAGTTAACTCGAGTAAGGTTTGCAGGAGCGAAAGACTTACTGGCTGGATCACACACACCCTCTGATCGTTTCGAACATTGCTCGCCCTTTAAACCGGTCATGTGGCACACTAAAGCATCGCTCCTACAGTACTCCTATTCATTTCTTTACAAGTCTGATTCTGTAAATCAAGTAGGCACTCTTAAATACTTTAGAGAGAAGTATAACAGGAAAAATGCAACCGCTTCCAAAGTTCTCGACTCTTTTGAAGGAAGTGAAGAATTATTTCTCAGCATGGGTAGAGCGTACATTGTTTCTGCTGCGTTAAATTTTTTCGGGATGAACAACTTCTCTGATAAACCATCATCACATCAATTTCCCGACAATATTGTACATGGCAGCGTATCGTCAAAGAAAGAATATTTTGATGATGCTTTCGGAAAATTTGTCGACAAATATGTTTTACAGAAAGTTGATGCTGATGATTGCGATGGTGCAGATGACTATGTAAAAAACTATGCTCTTTCCTGTATTTTTTTGGCTGTTCTGATCATGCAAATGAAAGACACTTCAGCGGAAGGCGATGGTCACCGTAATTTGATCAACCAAAAGCTCTTGTTATCAGTTTTCAAATCGATGGGATCATATTCCAAATACGCGGTTGAAATGTTCGTTAGTATATCTCAAATTGAATGCATGCTTACACCTCGTCTCTCAGAAGAGTTTAAATGGGGATTTTTTTCGAACTGGAGAGGGGGCATCGGGAATAATATTGAAGATGACTAGGCCCGAGAAATTTCAAATCGAATTGGCAAGTGTATTGTCCAAAGAATGGGCCCAAACAAAACCATGGCTTCAATAAGCAAAGTTTGTAAGGCAAGTTCTGGTATACATCTTCTTGTAGAGCAGTTTGATGCCTCTCTACATATCCATGCAAAGTCTGTAAAGCATACAACCCGTGACTCCCTAAAGGATGAAAAAGAGATGGTAAATGAGATTGTGCAATTGGATCCTTTTAATCATGTTCCAGAAAGGCATCATGACAGTTTTCCAAACATTAAGAAGAGTCCATTAAAGTACTTGAATGTAGTCGAATTTCATAAATGGCTAGATAAGCACAAAACTGAATTTCCAAATTGAGTTGTTCTTTGAAATTGAGTACCCTTTATGCAGGTTTAAGAAATGGTAATAACTCTCTGTGAAGTAAAAGAATATGTGATTATGACAAAAGTGTTAGGTAAAGAGTCATCTGAAGTTCTAAGTAAACTTGTTTGGAACAACTATTCAACGAAATTGTTTGAACATGAGCAATTTCTGTTGATACAGTAGCAGCCAGCCGGACATTAGGTCATCCTATGCTAATATCTTGTTGTTCATTGATTGTGTGAAAACAATGAATTTCTACAGAAATGAATAATTATAATGACTTGACATTTGCATAGCAGGACAAAATCATCAGGCTTGCTACACCAATGTAATGGCACATACATATCATCTAATACCTTATAGTGACATCACTTGATTAAACAAGTGTGCTCATTTACGATAGAGAATATCTTGGAAGAACATACTTCATCCCATATGCCAAAATTGTTAAGGAGGTCCGATTCCAATTCAATGTACTCAATTTGCATCACAACCCTTTCAGCTAGGTATTCATCAATTAACATTGAAGGAATTAACAAACACTCTGATTTTTCTTCAGACTGATAGTTGGACAAGACACTATGGATCAGGCTCACCAAAACAGTACCATCACCTTGTAGACGCCTCACTTTAGAAACTTCTAAGCTGACAACAGTATTTGTATACTCCTCATTACATACAGAGCAACAATTTTCTTGCCGTGGTGTAGTAAATCCAAAATATTCTAGAAGCTGACTTCTCTTGACTTGCAGTAGCTCTTCATTGAGTCTTGAATATGCTTTTTATGACTTCCAATGTCAGAATTGTTGTAATATAATGTTGCATATGACTGAATACCAGTACGACCAGCACGACCAATCTCTTGCATGTAACTTTCTAAAGTACTTGGAGGGGATATGTGAATCACTTGAGCAACATATGGGGCATCAACACCCATACCAAGTGCTGATGTTGCAAACAGTACCCTGACCCTTGAGTCCTTTTTCTTTATTTCTTCAATTAATTCCCTTTTCATTCGACTTGTTTGGGGAGAATGAAACTGGGCAAAAAGTCTTGCCATAGGTTCTTCACATCCATTCACATACTGTTCATCTTGCAGAATTCTTTCAAACAATCGGTAGGCATGTGCACAGTATTTCAGTTTCATATAGATAATTGTCATTGGGTAGTTTTCTTTTTAATCAATAGTTCCTTTGCAACAGGTCCCAGAATTTCATTATAACTTTCAAACTTTTTGTGATCACTTGAACGTACTTTCTTTCCAAGATATATGTTCTCTCTGTTTGGGTTTACTGTAACAATCTTGCAGTCTTTTTTCAATTGGAGTTTGTGTTTTAAATCATTTAATAAATGAGGTGGGGCTGTAGCTGTTAAAGCCAGGGTTGGAACATTAGGGAAAAATGCTTTTAAAATAGACAGTTCACCAAAATCTTTTCTAAACTCTTTCCCCCTAAAATATTCATTAGTACAACATCAGCGACTAACCATGGCTGAATAAACATTACCTCCTATTATAAACTTATAACAAACAAAATAATATATGATTGAATTTACCTCAATCACCAACACCAGAAGATATTTTAATCAAGAAAACGTCAGAAAGCGTTTTGCAACTAATTCTTAATGCAATACGTGCAAGTATGCATGATTGGGTCAAACATCACACTAGAGTTAAATGCTGAAGGAACGACTTACAATTACATACCATAACTCGACACAATGAGCCTCATCTATTACACAACCAACAACGTTCTCTTGAAACACTTTACTTCCCATCAGTTCCCTTCCTTTAGATTTCAACAGGGCTTCCGGGTGTGCAAATACAATGGAAGTATTGCCATTTACTATTTCTTGTTCTATATCCATCAGCGTTTCCTTCAAGTGAATTTTGCGATTTTCACTACCTTCCGTGAACAAGTCTTCAGCCGGTTTCCGCTCGTTAATGGCAAATTGTATGACCCCAGCGGAAATATTTATTGCACTCAGCACCCTCAGCTGGTCTTCCACAATAGAGTTTAGAGGACAAATCACAATTACTATATTTTTTCGTGATTTTACGGGAATTAGATCTGGCAACAGATGGAAAAGCATAGATTTCCCAAAACCTGTCGGGAGTACGCCAATAACATCACATCCTTTAAGCAAATACTCCAGGCATTTCATTTGCAAAGGTTTAAAATTTATAGAAGGAAAATTTCTCCGCTGTTGGCAAACTTGCACTCTCTTGAAAAGTTCAAGGAACCCTACTTCATCAGAATAATACGCCATATTGAATGTCTTTCGCTAATTATTCATATGTTTAATTTATGTTAATTTAGAACACACACTATACGTGGGTGTTCTGAAAACACGTGACCGGCCGATGCCAGGGCCAATTTCCCCTTTCCCCCTCTTTTGAAATTGGCCCTGGGAACGAGGTTGATTCTCGAGGCAATCAAAATAGCCGAGAAAGAGGAACAAAGCGCGATAAACAGTTGGAGTGACGAGATTTAGATAGGAATCGGTCCATTTCACGAGACGACCGTTAATTATAATATTTATTGCGTTCTCGCTCACGAATGATGAGAAACGACCATACAAGTTAAACAAAACATTAACACAACAATGCCCTGGTAACCAGGCCTCATGCAATGAGAGCCCATTGAGTTCAGAACATAACTGGATAATAATGTTATTCACTATCTCCCCCCAAGTCTTTAGCAAATGTTTATGGAGGGTTGATAAAGACTGATAAATGTTCAGTTCGATAGTCAATATGTCTGTGTCTGTGGCTATCATTCACCTTCTATTCAAGAAGGTCTTTCTTGTTGAAGTCTTGCAGTCTCCGGAGTGCAAGTGGTGGTTTCTTCATATTTCTTGTAGCTGGTGGGTTAATGGGTGTGGGTGAGGTTGGTGTAGTGGGTGTTGTTTGTGGATGGTCAACCGTCGGTGAATCTTGGTTGGGTGTATGCTGATATTTGGTTTGATCTGGGGGGTTCATTTGTTGCGAGTGGGGTTGGTTGAGGGGATCTGTGTGAGGGGTTGGGGAGGGTGGTTGCATGAGGGTGGTGGGTTGGGGTTTCACCAGCTTGTATAGGTCTTCGATGATGGTATGGCGTGGCTGTGGCTTTTGCACAGGGAGGTATTTTCGTAGGAATTTACGGTTGCGAAGCATGATGCGGCCAGAACCATCAACCCGTATGACATACTGATCAAACCGCACTTCAATTACCAGACCTGTTTTGTCCCATTTAGTTGGGTATGGGCCAGTTTGGTTTTGAATCCGTACCCGGTCCCCGACGATGAGGGGTGGGAGTCTCTTTGTGTGTTCCGTCCATTTTTCCGTGGTTCGCATGTGTCTATTCCGTAGTGCTTCCTCTCTGGTGTCGAGGGTGTCTTGCCAGGTAGGGTGGGGCCGATAACGTCCGGGAAGGATGGGTATAAAATCTTTAATGGGGCAGCCGAAGATGCATTGGGCCGGCAATAATTTTGTTTCAGGATCAGGTGTGTTCCTGTACTGGAGGATGGCGCATTGCAAGTTGTTGGTATTCAGGTCACCATTGGGATTGGTATTATCGGTGATAAGGCGTTTCACGGTCTTGACGCCAATTTCAGCCCGACAATTAGAGTGTGGGTAGGCCACCAAGGAGAGCCGATGGTGTACTCCCCAATCTTGTAAGAACTGACGTGTGGCTGAGGAGGAGAATTTGGGGCCACCATCAGAGGCACATTCGTCAGGAATGCCGAACGTGGTGAAGGTTTGTCGGAGGCAGTTGATGAGGCCTTTAGATCCTTCGTGGGCATGTTCAATGATGGGCCAGTTTGAGTATCTATCCACAATTACCAGATAGTTCACGCCTTTGTAGTGGAAAAAATCGGCACAAATGCGTTGGAATGGATAGTCTGGTGGCATAGGTGGAGTTGGGGGGGGCACTTGGTTGGGATGGTGCCATGCGGTTGCAGTGGTTGCAAGTTTGGCGGGTCGCTTTGATGGCGGGGGTGATCCCAGGCCAGAAGGCGGAGGATTCCGCTCGGGCCATCATGGATGTTGTTCCCTGGTGTGCTGAGTGTAGTGTCGCCAAGATATCAGTTCACTGGGGTAGAGGTATCACCACACGGTCCTTGTAGAGTATTACACCATCAACAGTGTGTAAGTGTTCGTGGAATTGGAAGTAATCTTGCAGTCTAGGTGGTCATTCCTGGCGAAGCTTAGGGAATCCGGACTCAATGATGGAAGCAAGCGTATGCATGTCTGGGTCACTGGCGGTTGCCAGTTGTACCTTTTCCCATGTGACGACAACGGCTTGTAAAGCGGACGAGGCAGTAGAAGTGAGTGCGTCGTTGATGCTGGGGCCGTTGGTGGCTGAGTTGGGATCGGCGCAGCATAGTCTATTTAAGATTGTGTGTTGATACAAGTTCGTCTCAAGTGGGGTGGTAAGGTCACTAGCAGATGCTATGTCGTCTGACAATGGCAGTTTTTCGGGGTTGGTGGTGCCAGAGGGGTGGCGTGATATGGCATCAGCAGCTTTGTGTTTTACGCCTGGAGGGTTGTTTTCCACCCTATGGGACAGCAGAACGAGTGTGAGGATGGGCAGGTACAGAGCTTCTGAAACAGCCAAAATCCGATGCCGGTCTTTGACCAGTCTGTGGCGAGGCATGTTGGTTTAGACTTGTCAAAGATTCGAACACCTTCTTCAATCTCGTTGATGATGATGGATTTGGACTCGTTGAATAATTGGTTCAGTTCTTCATTCCAGATGAAAGGTTTCCCTGGTTTAAGTGTTTCACGGAATGGGAGCATGCGGGTAGAGGCAGCAAAGGCATAGGACACCTGGTTCACTAGGCCAAACCAAGAGTGTATGTCCGTGATGGTGGCAGGTGTCGGGAAGTCTCGAATGGCATCAAGGTACCTCTTGCAGGGACAAACATTTGTCGGTGTGATCTCAAAGCCTGCGAATTCAACGTTGTCCTTGCCAAAGACGAATTTGTCAGGGTTCAGTGTGATCCCTTGGTGTCCGCAGATGTTTAGCCAATTCACTGCCTGGTAAAAGCTGTCGGTCAAAGTGTCAGCCAATAGGAGGGTATCGTCGATCACTTTGGTTTTGTCCGGGATATGCGATACTATCTCATCGAATCGTCTGGAGTAGCCATCACCGGTTGCGATATAACCTTGTGGTGTTGTTCTATATCGATACCATCCCCAGGGAGTGATGAATGTAGTGAGATGACGATCATCTTCGTGCAAGGGGACACTGTGGTATCCATTCCAGCAGTCAAATACGATTTTCTTTTTGCCACCTGGGATAGAGCGTACCTGGTGAAAAGGGCTTTGCGTGTGGTGGGTTTCCCTGGTAGCATGGAGATTTAAGGCTTGGAAGTCTACCAACAGGGATGGGTGTATGGTGGGCTTTTGGTTCGGCATTGGGATCTATCATCAGACGCATTGGTTTGCCTTCCATCAGTGGTAGTGGTTGGTGTTCGCAAGTGTTGAACGTGCTTGATCGATAGTAATCGAGGAGCCACTCTTCCAGGCGTTTGCTGTTTTGTTCTGTTGGGTGGGTGTTGGTGGTGGCAACTGGCGGCGTGGGCAGTCACAGGGTGTATTAAGGTGGTTGTGCTGACTTGGGGCGATCGATGGTGGTGGGATCTGTTGTTGGTTTGCGGTCTGTACTTGATTTATAGCTTCACCAATAGTGGGGAAGTTCTCTGTAATTAGACCGAGTGCTGCACAGGCTTCTCGACTTAGGAAGATCTTGTCAGATTCCTTGGTGACATATGTGATTTGACGAGTTTCGAGGATTTTTCCTGATCTTGAATGTCCAGAGAATTGGAGGATGACTGCGCCAAGGATTTTTGTTGGCAGCATACATTTTCATGGTGACTGGGATTAGGTCTTGTTTCTTGAGACCCAGTCGTTGGATGGCCTCCAAGCTTGCAAGGCAGCTTTGGCAACCAGTATCAGCCATGACCGATATTTGTGTTGGCTTGACTTGGGTGGTGCTGGGTTGGAAGCCAAGGTTTTTGTAGTCTTCGGGGTGGGTTGAAGCTGTTACAGTCCTGAAGGGTTGTGGCTTGGACGGCTTGCGAACCCAACGATCATTAAGATTGTGGTACAAATGATGATCCAGGGTGATGGAGGGTTGATTGTTTTTGCTGGTGGTGTTGGTTGTGGTGCATAAGCTGTCGAATATGGCTCCTTCGGCTTCGGCTGCAGGTGTGTTGCGATTGGGTGATTTTGATATACTGCGGCATACTGATGCAAAGTGATTTTGGCGACTACAGTGGTCACATGTTTTTACATAGGCAGGACAGCTGGGTTTTTCGGACTCTCGGTGGTGCATTCTTTCCATGACCGGATTTACCACAATAATTGCAAATATCCTCCTTGTTCTCTCTGTTCTCAAGTTTACGGGTTTTGAGATCATCTTGCTTGTTGCGGTGGTATTGACTGCGGGAAGAGTTAACGCCTTGGGTTTCAAGTAGACGTCCAGCGGATATTTTGCCTGCCTCTTTCGCTTCCACAAATTGGGTCATGTCCTGATTTCTATTGCCGAGTAAGTCCAGTTGGATTTCGCTGTCCACAAGGCCTCGGGTGACTATGTCCCGGATGATTTGCTCTGTATAATTGACATCACTGTTGCAATTTTGACATCTGATATTAAATTTACAGACACCAGCTTGACCTTGAAGTCGGGCACCAAAGCTGCGAATCGATTCATCTCTATCCTGTCGCATGTTGTGAAGTTGGACCCGAGCGACCATGGTGTTTTCTTCCCACACAGCCAGTTTTTTTATTGCTGCTAATATGTCGTCAGCTGACTTGTCGGTGAGGGAACCGCCAGCATTCTGTGTTAGATCTTTTCGTAGTTGTTCGTCACAGCATTCTAGTAATTGGATGATTAAATTTTTACCTTCAATCTTGGTTGCCTCAACATAATCTTTCCAGCGGGTGAGGAAGTAAACCCGGTCTTCACTCTATCCTCCAGCAGTTACCGTGGGGCGACGTACTGTCTCAACTCTTGCTGTTGTTGTGGGGGTTTGTGGCTGGGTTGCTGATGTGGTATGTGTCCCTGAAGAGTGCACTGATAGTAGGACTGCTGCAAGGCTGTCTTCGATGTTTTCTGTTTTGTAGGTGCATTCAGGGAATGGGCATTTGTACTTTGGCATTATTATATGTGTCAAGTGGTACAGTGGTTCCTTTGTATAAGGTTCGAGGGATAATATAGTTCGTTTTGAATTTCCGCTTGATATTTGGGCCAAATATTCATTAGATGTAAATTGGCGGGAAG